TGACTTTATAGAGTTGCCATATGGAAAGACTGTAGTAGATTGTTACAAGAGACAAACATGGATCAATACATACGGAGAGTCGATTCAACCACACGCGGAGGCATCTGATCTTGAAATCCCTAAAGACATAGCCAAAAGGATAGTGCTACCACCGCTGACAAAAAGACCTCCCGGGAGATGTCGCGAAGCAAGGATCCCGTCAACCGGTGATATACAAGTAAGTTAAACTGCTTCTATCTTCTGAAATTAACCTTCTAGTTTCAGAATTACCACCATTTATGCTATCTCTCTGTAGAAGGAGAGGACAGCCAAAGTTTCCACAAACAGATGCTCTCGTTGCAAGGAGGTTGGTCATAACCGTACCCACTGCACTAACCCAATATAAAAAGATTTGGGCGCCGTTTTGTCGCAAGATGTCAATAAGAGTTCAACAAGGTTTATTTTGGTAGAATTTCAAAGTTAGGATTCATAGTTAGGTCAGGAAACATTAAAGATTGTATGATCCCCTTGTCTTTAAACTAGCATCCTTTGTTTTTTGATTTTCTAAACTACTTCTTCAGTAAACTGCTTTCACAGTTACACGAAATAACATCGTTTCTGTCCACACTTCAGTTCGTCCACGTAAACGCACAATAACAACTAAACAGCTTCAGTTCAATTACTTGTCTTTAAACTACCGTCCTTAGTTTTTTGGTTTTCTCAAATACTTCTTCAGTAAACTTTGGTTTCACGGTTACACGAAATAACATCGTTCCTGTCCACTTCAGTTCGTCCACGTAAACGCACAATAATTACTAAACTGCTTCAGTTCAATTATCAAGTGTGGATACTCTACACATTCAACGAGTTCAATACACTTTGTGATACACGAAATAACATCGTTCCTGTCCACCTCAATTTGTCCACGTAAATACACAAATTTTACTAAACCGCTTCAGTTAAATTATCAAGTGTGGATACTCTACACATTCAACGAGTTCATTACACACTTTCTTCAATAATTTATGAAGTTCCACTTTAAGACACTTCTTAATTTCTTTATTACTCATAATAGCTTGATAAACCGCAAAAAATTAGGCAGAGAAACAATTAACAAAGAACAACTAAGGATAAACAAATATCATGCTAAATCCATAGCAAATCCATTCAAACAAACAACTAAGGATAAACTTAAAAGGTACACAAATACACACAAAACCATAAATCCCCTTAACAATCAGACAAACAGGTAATAGTAAAACACGACAAGGCCAATCCCCAATACCATAAATTTCTTCATCCTCACAACCTCAGTCACGCATTTCTTTCCTTCTTCCTCAGCTTTCACAAGAGACTTTTTTGTACCTTCATTAGCTTTCTCTAAACCAATAACCACTGTCCTAAGATCCGAAATTTCTCCTCTAAGCTCAATTATGACTACG